ATATAGGACTGGGCAGAATGTTTTTAAGTCATCTTGTCCGCGATTTTGGTGCTTATTTCACCCATAGCTGCTCATTTTTGGAGATTTTTGAAGGGGGTTGTAGAGGGATTCAAAGGGAATCGTCGGGAGGTAAGATTCTTGGACTAAAAACTCAATTATTATGTGAATTCCACCTAGAAAATCATGAAAGCTAAGCCTAAAATTGAAGAACTAGGGCTTGAGAAATTGTACTTTTGAATTGGGAGTTGAAGGACCATTTGAGGTCTTATTAGAGAACTTTTGATATGTATGAAATCATGAGAAAATAAGGAATCTAATGATGTAAAAATTTCCGAGTTTCAAGAAGTGGGCCTGTGGCTCGAGTTTTGCTAATTTCGGGATTTGTGCCATTTATTGATTGTTTTCGCTTGGGCTTTATTCCCTTAGCATATTTTGACGTGCTCGTTCTAATTTTGGATAGATTCGATGCATATGGAGGCCGATTCGAGGGGCAAAGGCATCGCAAGCTAGAAATTTAGCTGGTTCGAGGTGAGTAATGATTGTAAATGATTTTCTGAGGGTTTGAAAACCCGGATTGCACATCGTAGTGCTATATTGAGGTGAGGCACACTCTTGATGACGAGCGTGGGGTTGTGTACTATTGGGGATTGTGACTTGGTCCATCCCGATTGATGATTTTACCGCGTATTTGACTGAAAACTATTTGCTATCATCATTATTTGGGCTGAATGCCATATTTGGGCCTAGTGCCAGCTATCTGAACCCTTAGGGAATTTTTGTTACTATTCCCTCACTATTTTGACTTTATACTTGAACTCAGTCATGTTATTTTCCACAGTTTTCAAAACTCAGCCAAGTTTATTTTGCTTTAACACTTGAAATGATATTTCAAATAATATTTGGGCTGAGCATCATGGTTTACTATTGCCCGAGTGGCTTATGTAATTTTGACTGAGTAAGGCCGAGGGCCTATATTGTGAGGATACTTTTGGATCGGGCTGCACGCCGCAGCAGTGAGATATTGATTTGATTATGAGGCCGAGGGCATTAGATATGTACGGCACGAGGTGGCTTGTTGATTGATATGAGGCCGAGGGCCTAGATTTGATGCCACGAGATTGCTTAATATTGCACTTGGGCCATAAGGGGCCCCTCCCAGAGTCTGTACACCCCCAGTGAGCGCGGGTACCCATTGTGATGTGAGATTGAGCCCAAGAGGTTGGTATTGTTCTAAGATTGAGCCCGAGGGGCTGGTACTGTTCTGAGATGTTGCCTGAGGGGCGGATTTAATGACATTGTGCCCGAGGGGCGAACCTTATGTGCTTATCTTTTCTTATTTGCCTGCCATTTACATGTTTAAATTGTGTATTTGTTCCCGAGGGGCGGATTTCTGTGCTTATCTGCACTAATTGTTTTGCTTTCATTTGCATAACTGTTGAAAAGGTCATTTTTAAAGAAGTTTCCAACTAAGCTAAGATGTTTTAAGAGATTTTATAGCTTTACTGCTTTCTTACTAGTTTTGAACTGCTTCTATACAACATCCTGATATGTTTTACGTGATTTCTTACCATTCAGACTTTAGTTATGATTATTACTTACTGCGTTGGAGTACTCACTTTACTCCTTGCACCTTCTGCGTAGATTCTGGTATTTATACACCCAGTAGCGGGTTTTGGCTGATCGGAGGCAGAGTCATCGAAGTTTAGTAAGGTAGCTGCCAGCATTCGCAGCACTACTTTTCTCTCTCTTCATTACATTTGTCTTATTTGTACACTTCAGGATTTCAGCTATATTTATACCCTAGTAGATGCTCGTGACTTGTGACACACCGGTTAGGTCTGTGTGGGGTTGGATTTTCCGCATTGTTATCGATATTTCTACTATTCAGTATTATTAAATCATGTTTAGACTATTTTTGTGGTGATCAACTGTTTTAAAAAGATGAATTGGGTTAAACTAGTTGGCCTTATCTTCACGAGAGGCTCCATCACGACCGAGTTCGGGGTTAGGGTCGTGACACTCGTTCACCATTGATCATCTACTCCGTTTGTACAGTCTCCGAATCTTTCAGGAGGGACTGCCAAAGCTTGTGCGTCGGGCCAGCAAAGCCCCATTCTCGAGCATCGATGAGGACTGGGATCTACGTTTGCAAGGACATTTTGTTCGGGTGAGGACCACCGACTTGATACCTGCCGAGTGGAGGTCGTTCCACGATAGGTGGAATGTATCATATACGTACAACTCCCTTTAAGCGTCGATTTTATTCTTTATCTTTCCTTTTCTTATCGGTGTTTGTTGTAGTGTAGCCCTTGATCGAGTTCCAAATGCTAATTCTTTGCTCAAGGAGTGGGTCGAGGGTATTGTGTCATAGATGCCCTATTCCGAGAGCTTATGGCACAAACTTTCGGAAGGCCGTTGCGAGGCTCGTTCCCATGATAAGGTTCCTTTCCAGAGAAAGTCGTATTGAGCTTCTTCTCCTGGAATTGCATTCTTATTTCCTTTATTTTCTTTTGCAGGTTTTCCTAAGACCGTCAAGCTTAGGCCTCTAGTCGAGGACGAGGACTTTCCTGTTGAGTCACCTGCTCTGGGGTAGGCTAGAGAGAAGAAAGGGAGGAGGGCTCTGAGTTCCTCGAGCTCGGAGAAAAAGAAATCGAGAAGGAGGCTGGTTAACAAGCCAAAGGAAACCTCCAGCTCCTGAGTGCTCTACTCAGACTCACTACTCTAGCTCAGGGACAAGCCCGAGGAGAATGAACTCTTTATGTCCCACAAGCCATATATCCCCGAGGAACGGGCAAAAGCTGAGGAGGAAATGACGAAGGTTAATCCCTCTTAAGTTTGTGAGGTCGATGCTATACTGAAGGTCGATAACTCTAGAGACGCCAGCTCTGCCCTGCATGGTGATATAAATATTTTAGGATCTCCTTCTTTCACAGAATAAATGTTCGATGAAGCCCGAACGACGAAGGAGCGATATAATGAGAGGGTCCATGGAGCGGACGATCCCCTTCAAAGCTTCTTTGATGGCATAGATTCATCCACCCTAGGGGACTCCACCGGACTGGGCGACTTAGATGTTCCGAGAAAAACTCCATCCTTGCCCCGAAGTTGGTCAACTGGTACCCGGCTCCAAGCACAGATCCTGGTCGGAAGCGATCAGTCGTCATTACCACCCGGAGGATGCCCTGATTCTTTTCACCCACGTTGGGGTAGCTAGTTATCTCCGGTCCCTAGTAACCGATGAAGACAAGGCAAAATGAATGAGGTGGATGCATTATGCCTGTTCAACGAATAACAACAGGCACTGAGCAGGGTAAGGTGCTATCAAACTTTTTTATTTTCAGCTTTAGTTCTTTATGATCCTAGTATCTCTTCTCATATTTATAGGCCTCGGTGCTCCACCATGAAACCTTCCTCAAGTATAAGGATGAGCTAAGACAACTTCAGGCCGAAGTTATGGAGCTTGCTGAGAAAAGAGACATGTACAAGCTTCTCAGCGAGCAACGTGAAGGAGAAGTTAAGAGACCTTGAGCCGAATTAGACGCAGCTCAGAAAGAACACACCGACCTAGTGGAACATGTAAAAATCTTTGAAATTAGTGATGATGAGCTAGGCACGGTGACTAATGGTCAGAACCCGTAGGTCCAACAGAAGATTGACAGGATCGACCAACTACGATCCGAGATGGATGTGATAAAGGTCGAGACCGAGGAGTGGAAATGCAAGATGGATCATTTGGCTTCGGAAAAGGAAACTAGCCGAGAGCAAATGGCCTCGTCGGAGGCTCAACTTCGAGCAGCGAGGGAGAAAGGTGAGGCTTGGTCCCAAAATATCGAAGACCTCCAGTCTCAACTAGGCTCGATTGTTGCCGATCGTGATACCCTTGCCTAGAAGCTTAAAGCGGCCAAGTCAGTAGCGAAAATAACCAGGGCCGATGCCGAGGAGATGGTGGCCCAGCATAAAGCTGATGTTGAGGCATCCCAGGTCCGCTTGAAAGATGTTATTGAATACGTGAAGTGGTAGTCCCGAAGGGAGGCCTTCGAGGAAGTTCATGCCCAGGGTTTTGACTTATCGACCGAGATCGAAAATGATAAAAGGCTTGACACTGAGGCCAAGAAGTTGGTATATCCCAAGGACGAGGAACGCTCCGATGGTTCCGGTGGGTCCGAGGGCGGAGAAGACCCCGATGGCCTCGGTGATGAGTGTTAGCATGCGATTTTTGCCCTATACGATTTACTCCCATAAAATACAAGAAAACTAATTTTTTATTTTTTTTACAAATTTTATAGGATTTCGTAGGAATTTTTATTAATTGTTTGCATTTTTCTGCGCATGTTTATCTTATTAAAATCATGAAAAATACAAAAATATCATGTATTGCATTTAGGGTTTACCTTTATATTTTTAGGATCAATTAGTTAGTTATTTGTCTTATTTAAAGTGAAAATCACAAAATTAGTTCATTTTGCATTTTTAAATTTAATTTTAGAATATTATTTTCCCTTTTCTAATTCAGGATTAAACAACTTTTTAAAATTTTTAGAAAAAGTGGGTAGTGTTACAATTTAAATCAATTTTAGGTTTAATTTAGTTTTTGTTTCATTAATTTTAGTTAAAAGAAAATTGAAAAAAAGGACAGAGGAAATAGAGTTAATATGACTGATTTTTATTGGACCAATTACTAAAGCCCAAACCCTTTTTCTTCTCACCATCCCGCCTAGCCCAGCCAGTAACCCGGTCTAATTTTCCCCTGTTAGTAGAACGACACTGTTTCCCCTTTAGAATCCCAACCGTTGATCTCCATTGATCAAACGGTTGGGAACTAAGGCTCCCCTTAATATTTAAGTGTCGGAACCGATACCCCCCCCAGTCAACCATCTCCTCACTTCACCTTCTCTGCAGAAACCCTAGAGACGCCGCCATGAAACCCTCCGCCGGTGGGCAACCCCAAATAGCCTCCAAAATTACACCCCATAATCTGCGGTCTCTCCTCTTCNCTCTGCCGGCGGTGCAACCCCAAACCGCCGCCAAAATTACACCCCATAATCCCCGGCATCTCTTCTTCCTAAACCCCAAAAATGATTTCTCTCGAATCCCTCTCAATCCGCTCTTATTTTGGATCTAAAATCAACACCCGAAACTTAAAGCTACAAATTTACCCTGACCTCGGATTTGTGGCGTGCAAAGTTAGGATTCAAGCCTTCAAGTTCTAGTGCTGATTTAACGTGAAATTGATGTTGTTCATTGTTCTTGTCAAAGAACATGCAACTAACATTAGTTTTGGGTAAATCGGAGCAACCGAAGTTTATTTAAGTCAACTACTAGGTACTTTCTTTTATTTTTTCCTCTACCTATTTCTGTAATTTTTTCTTCTATGTTCCTTCCTTTTTCTTCCACCCTTTCTTTAATCGGTATCCTTCTATTCCTCTTCATCTCGGTTGGGTTTAGAAATCATAGATTTTTCATTCATTTAATTCGGTTATAATAATAGGTTAAGAAGCAATTAAACTCTTTGTTAGCACTTGTTAATTTTCCTTTTTCCTTTTACTTCTTCTCTTCTATTCTGCTTCGTTAGAAGATCTCATATCAGTAGGATTCAGAATTGGGTTAGTTTGAACATTCTTGTGAATTCATTTGATTAGACTTGGATTTGGGTTTGCTAGTGCAAGAAGGCCAAAGAGCTTGTTGAAGTTTGCTAATGCAGAAGCCCAAGAGGATTTGGGGCAGTCTGTTTCAAATATATGGTTTGTTTGAAGTAATTACCAAACCTTTGAGGGGTAGTTTAGGAAATTGGATAGGGGGAATCTTTCCTAACTGTTTGGGAAGGTTCCAGGAAGGTGGGGATTGGGTAGTTCAGCAAATAGGTTTAAAATTTCAGGGTTTAAATTGAACAAAATGGGAATTTATGAGGGGTAATTTTGAATGAATAGAATCAGGTACTGCTGCCCTAAGATCTTACTATATAAGGCATGTTTCATTCATTTTCTGGCAGAGATCACAATGCTAAAAAATAGCAAACAGCTGAAACCTCTTCTCTGAAAATATTGATACTTGTTTTCAACGTTTCACTCTTTCCTTTTTTTCCACAAAATTTTAAGAAGAACCATTCTTTAGATTTCTGGCGGTTTTGGAGTCAAGAAAATGGTTTAATCTGAAGCTGGTGTTGATTATTGTTGTATTTTGTTGTTGCTTTTCTATTGCTTATTTAGCTCTTGTCACGTTTAAAAATTTACTCCTTTGCTTTGTTCGTTTATAACCAGGAATGTAAGTTGAATCCCTATGGCATATGAATAATACACGTGAAGCTTTAGAGTTTGTTGGTTGTTAATATTCAATTGATGCCTGTTTGCTTTGCTGGAGATCGATTCCATGTTGTTGGAATTTATTGTACTCTGTTCCCCTCCCCATTCTGTTTTGTAGTCTATTAGAAGTAAGCTAAAATTGGTCCATGATAGATGTGTGTTTTGAGTTTAAACTACATTGTAAGGGGTGGGAGGTGTTTGTGCCTCCTAAATTGCTTTGGAATTTTTTTTGAAGTTTCAATCTGTTAATACTATGGTTTATCATAAGATGTATTTGAAGGTGATATGTGTAATGGGAAATGTTCTTTAGAAAGGAGTTGAAAGATTACTGTTGTGGGGTATATGAAATGTGGGTTCAATATGTTTAAAATACAATATTCAGCATGTATATGTTTCCTGGGTTTTAATTTGATAGAACAGATCGTGTGTGCGTTAATATGGTTTGATAATAGTTTAATGATCGAAGTTCATGTTGTAGCATTAGTAACAGTAACAATTCGAGGTTTATAATATCATTGTTGAATTGTATATGAGGCTATTTCATGTGAGTAGTGATTGTTTATGGCCTTAGTTGGGCCTTAATTCTTGTACATTCTTGCCAAGGTTTTGGAGAAGTTGATTCAGGCCCAAATGGGGGCCGTTAGGAATGTTTGAGGAATTTTCTTTTGGGATCTACCTTGAGCCCAACCCCCGAAAGCAGTATGTTTCCCAAATAATTACTGAGTGCATTATAGCGTGGGGCCCAATTTCAGGTGGCCCAGCCTCAAGCTGGGGCATTTTCAGATTAATATCGATTTTTGTTTCTCTTATAGTTCATTTAGCTTAATTCGATTTTTTGGTTGGTGTTGTGATGAAGTTGTTTTGAATTAATCTCAACGATTTCCATGTTTGGGCTTTGTGTTTGGCCCAGCTTAGCCTGTGAGGCTTCGGTTGCTTTAATTTCAACTTTGGACTTTTTCTTTAGCCCCTCTCCCTCTTTAAAAGGTCGTTTTTTTGTTTTGAATCTGGACTTGCAGCAAGTCTGGAACTCGTTCCCCCAAAAGTTAAGTTGGTATGGAACTTTGCATAGGCTGCTTATAGTAATGTTGGATAAAATTTAATTTAGATAAGAATTCAAGCTCCTTTGGACATCATTAATTAAGTATGACTCTTTAATTATATTGAGGTGTGCCATATCAAACAAAACCTATAATTTATGGCCCTCATAAGACTAGACCTAGAAATCATTTGAAGAAATATACTTGAGGCGTGCCATAAGCAAAATTAAATCATCTATGGCCCTCACAATTATTAATTTAGATATTAAAAATGAACTTCGTAGTTTGCTTTAAGTGCGTTAATTATATAATTATCATGACTACTACTAAAATCCGGGGGTACATTTTATGTGGCTCGGTTCTAAATTCCATCAAGGTTAAATAGAACGCGTCGTGAATTACAGGTACATTTCATGTAGCGCGGCTTGCGATGTGTTTAAATAACCTTGAAATAATTCCTTAAATGAATAAAAGCGGTTTTAAAGTTAAAAATGCATATAGGTTTAAAAGTGTTTTAAAATAAGATAATTAGGCCAATAATAATATGTAATGACCCGACCTATCGTTTTAAGAATTAGCGTCTCGTTCAACAGCTTAAGACCTCGAGGAGCTTCGTAATACGCATTATGACCCGCATGTATGGTCAAGTCTGATTTTTCGTAAGATTCCGAGTTAAATTTAAAGAAAATTAAAATCTTATTTTGAAGCAAATGGAAAGAGTTGACTTTTGAGCAAAAGACCCCAAATTAGAATTTTAATGATGTCAATAGCTTCATATGGTGATTTCGAACTTAGACATTTGTCCGAATTGGGATTTGGAAGTCCACAGGACAATTCGGCGCATTTTGGCAAAATAAGAAAGTTGATGTGTTATAATTATATTATTTATGTGTGGAAAAGGTTTATTACCATTATGAATACCAATTGGATATGATAGCAAGTGTATGAGGCGTACTATAAGACATATGGGGTCTAAGAAAATTTCTAAGTCTAAGCCAAGTTGGAAAATTACATAATATACTAAAGTTGCAAATGAGTAAACACAAGACCTCACTTTGGATGAGTATATCTAGGTGGATATAATGAGTTGTATGATGCACAACCTATCTAATTAAATCTCTTTGAGTCTAGTTTCCATAGAATCAAACCGTTCGTCATTTGGAGGTCTATAGAGAAAGTTATGACCATTTTATCGGACATGTGGCATAAGCGCGCCCAACCGCGAGGCAGGGCCGCGACCGCGCCAATTTAGAAGTTTTCTGCCTGTGATCACGGCGGGAGCAAGGCAGGAGTGCGTCAAAGCACGTAAAATCCCTATAATACCCCTGGGCAGTGTAAAAACCGAAGGGGTTCGAAATTTCTTCCATTTTTAGTCATTCAAGCATGGATTTGGGCTATTCCAAAGGAGTTTTTCACGATTTCGACTTGGGTAAGTATTCTATATCCGGAAGTGATTACATTTCATGAATCTATATCAATATTCATCATTTATTTCGGATTTGTATGAAAGAAATTGTGGGTTTTGTAAAGTTTTCCAAAAATGAAAATTTAGGATTTGAAGGTCCATTTACATCAGAATTCGATAATTTTTGTATAGTTGAACTCGTATCGGAATGGGTTGTCGGATTTTATGAGTTTCGTTAGATTCCGAGATATGGGCCCCACGGGAAATTTTTGAGCTAAATTTCGGATTTTTAATCCAAAAAATTTGTAAATTCATATAGAATTAGTTCCTACTATTCTTGTTGAGTATTTCGAATTGTTTATGACTAGATTTGAGAATTTTGGGAATGAATTCGCGAGGCAAAAGCTTGTTGGAATTTTGAATTTGTTTCAAAGTGAGGTAAGTGTTTGGTCTAACCTTAGCTTGACGGATTAGGAGTTGTGTCCTATTAGCTATGTGTTAATTGTTGAGTACGATGTATAGGCATGGTGACGAGTATCTATATGTTGGTGTCAAGCACGCCCGTGAGTCTTATACTATGATTAATGTGACTCTGTTTCGTATTGTACATGCTCTATATGATAATTTCTATTGAGGAATATGACTTGTAGAAGTATTATTGTTAATTGAACATGGTAGAGCGTTGGCTCAAGTTGAGAATTTAATTGTTGAACATGGTAGAGTGTTGGCTCAAGTTAAGAATAGAATTATTGAACATTATAGAGCATTGGCTCAAGTTGTGAATTGAGTTGTGAAGTAAACGTTAAAGAAGAAAGGAGAGAGAGAATCATGATATTGTCTCCCTTGCCGGGATGTTATTGTTTTGATATTGTTTCCCTTGTCGGGATTTGATTATTGTACTATAGTTCCCTTGCCGGGATTTTATTGTGATTTCATTTATTTCCTTGCCCTTATTTCTTATGATTGTTACTTGGGTGAGGAAGAGTGTTACAGCACGAAGGGTGATGCCATGTATGATTTTATGAGGAAGAGTGTAAAGCACGAAGGGTGATGTCGTGCCGCACGATGCACAATTCCGTACCGATTATATGATTTTGTGAGGAAAAGTGTAAAACTTGAAGGGTGATGTCGTGCCGCACGATGTACAATTCCGTGCCGATTATATTGATTTTATGGTGAGGATGAGAGTAAAAGCACGAAGGGTGATGCCGTGCAATTTATATTGATTCTTGTGGTGAGGACGAGAGTAAAAGCACGAAGGGTGATGCCGTGCACTTGTCCTTGATTTTTCTAATTCTAATTGAGTTATGTTGTCCTTTACGTTTATTTACTGGTTTTCTGTTGTTACTTGATTTTATTTCGATGTTATAGATTCCCTTACCCTATTTTTCTTGTGTTTGTTGCTTGGGTGAGGAAGAGTATACAACACGAAGGGTGATGCCGTGTATTATTTTGGTGAGAGAGTGTTAAAGCACGAAAGGTGATGTCGTGCACTTGTCTTTGTTTTTCCTGATATTTATTGATAACTGAGTTAAGGTTTCTCTACATTCAATTGATAGTTTCCTGTTGATACTTTTTGTACCCCGCAGCATGATCTCCCCTTCCTATTTTTCAATTGAACTGTGGTGATCCTCATATGTATTTGTTGTTCTTCTGTTATTATCCAATGTCCCACCAACATGTTACCCCCTCCCATACTTAACTGCACATTACTGTTCTTCTTTTTCGTTGTATATGATTTAACTGCACAGGTTTATTTGGTAGTCTGGTCCTAGCCTCGTCACTACTTCGCTGAGGTTAGGCTAGGCACTTATCAGCACATGGGGTCGGTTGTGCTGATACTACACTCTGCACTCTTTTGTGCAGATTCCAGTGCTGTAGACTTCGGACCGTTGTGAGATTGTTGTTTCTTGTTCAGCAGGTGATCCGAGTTAGTCCTGCAGGCGCCCGCAGGCCTTGGCGTTTCCTTCTATCTACTATTCAAATTTCTTTTATGTATTTCCAGAGAGAGTGTTGTATTTATTTTTTTCAGACCTTTATTTGTAGTAATCCTAGACAGTCTATGAAGTTGTGACACCAGTTTTGGGTAGATTTGCTATGGATTGGTATTAGCAGTATTATTAAAACTTTACAATGCAGCCTTCCGCTTATTCAATTCTGTTGTTATCTAATTATTGGCTCTTAACTGTTATTGGATTAAAAATGGAGCAAGGTAAATAGTTCAGTTGGTTGGCTTGCCTAACATTCACTAGTAGGCACCATCACGACTCCCGAGGGTAGGAAATCCAGGTCATGACAAGTTGGTAGCTGAGCTCTAGGTGACATAGGTCTCACAATTCACAGACAAGCTTAGTACAGTCTGAAGGATCGGTACGGAGACGTATGTATTTATCCCCTAGAGGTTACAGAGTTAAGAAAAGTTTCACTTCTATTCTTCTCTGTCGTGCGATTTGTTTCTCTCAATGCTAAATTGAAACCTCTATTCTTGTCCTCTCGCGAATGGCAAGGTCACGTACCGCTTCTTCAGCCGAGCAATAGCACAAGCCGGTAGTAGATCAGTTACGTCTTCGGAGGCATTGTGGAGGTTGGATAAGTTTCACCAAGCCCTTCTCTACCACTTTCAGCAGTGCATCTTCTGAGGATCCCCAGGATTATTTAGGCATCTGTCATGAGATTCCCAGGAAAACAGGGACAGTGGAGACCAATGGGGTCGACTTTGCTACTTTTCACTCGTCTGGATCCGCCAAGACTTGTTGGAGAGATTATTTTTTGGCTAGACTAGTTAGGTCATCAGCTTTGACTTGGGATCGGTTTTCTCAACTATTTTGGAGACGTTTCGTCCTGTCACTCAGAGAGGGATCTACTCGAGGCAGTTTGTGCGTCTCCAACAGAGTTCTATGATTGTTACTCAGTATGAGACCAGGTTTAATGATTTGACCCATCATGCTCTTC